GAGAGCTTTCTTTCATATTTTTGGACATTCTCTCTCAACGACTTTTCTCCACCTAACTATCTTGCACACAGACGTTATTATGGCTGCGAGCCTTCTCTCCTCTTGACTTTTACTGTTGTCAACCAAAAGTAATCAGGAGGATCAGAATGTCGTTTAAAGAGATTCTCTTCAAGCACAAAGTTTGAGGATGGGTCACCCATGAAGGACCAATTGCAAAGAATGGAGGTCAATGTTCCAAAGTATAGAAGTTTGGGATTGTTTATATAGACAACATCTAGGGAAGCTTAACAGAATTTCAACATCTTTTTATGCAAAGCTTAATGGATTGTTATAGTATTTTAATAGTCAAGATTATTTATTTTTTTCTTTTAGAAAAGGTATATTTAACATTTCACACTTAAGATATAACAGTCATGAGATCTTCGGTACTATCTGGTCTGAGTAAAGTATTGGACAATAAAGGAGACAGGTAATCTATGACGGAGATTAGTGGTTGGAAGGGGAAGCTTGGTCTCTGATCTTTTCGGCATTTACAGAGCAAGAACAATGAGGAAGAGAGTTAAATAATAACCAGAAGAAGCAGAACTGCAAACTAATTGCATGGCTTGTTCCCCAGACCTCAACTTCTCCCTCGGCATAATAAATTTAGAGATTTCTGAAATTTTATTTTCTTTAACACTATCTAGTTTTCCTATAGTTCTTAGTTTATGTTTTCATAAAGGAAATCTGACTGACAGCTTACAGTACCAAGAACAGGCCACTCTCCTCAGCAATCTGAGTGAAGAAGGAGAGGTGATGTGACTAAGTGGCAGGGTATGGGGGACACGGGGTGTGTTTGCAATTCAGAACATGAGTGAGAAGGAAGCACCGAGGAACTTTGACGCATCTGTGTGCTCTGAAGTCAGACTACATGTTTGAATCACAGCTCCGCATGCAACTCAACCTTTCCAGACCTTTCAAACGGGCATACAGAGAGGATCTTTGATGAAAGGTGATTGTAAGAACTTCTTTTAAAAAGGCAATTTATTTCCAGGCACCTAATCATTATTCAATTAATATTCAAAACACATAGAGGATGTCTTTTCACTTTACGGATGCCTTTTCTCTTGGATTATTTACCCAGGAGAAGAATTTCTGGATCACGGAGTAGTTCTAATTTTAGCTGTGGGGAAACCCTCATACTGCTACTCTTCACAGTGGCTGCAGTAATTCATAGTCTCACCACAGTGAGACAAAGGAACAGGAGTTTCCTTTTTCTCACCCTCTCCGCATCAGGTGTTTCCTGATAACTGGAGTAAGATGATGGCTCTGATGAACAGGGATGCATATCATTTTTTCATATATCTGCTGGCAGTTTCATATGTCTTCTTTTAAGAAATATCTACACAGATCTCTTGCCCATTTTGTAAATAGAATGATTTGTTTCTCTGCTATTGAGCTGTTGAATTTCATTACGTGTGTTCCGGTTATTAATTTCTTCTCAGATGTGGAGTTTGCAAATATTATCTGCCCTTCTGTGGGCTGTCTCTTCATGTTAGTGACGGCTTCCTTTACTGTGCAGAGCATTTTAGCTTGATGTAATCCAATTTGTATAGTTTTGCATTGGTTTCTTATACTTTAGAGTTTTCCCTCAAAATATCTTTGCCCAGGCCAAGATACTGGGCCATTTCCCCAATATTTTCTTTTAGTCCTTTCATGTTTTAGAGTTATGCATTTAATCCTATTTGATTTTACTTTATGTGTGTTGAGAGATGGAGGAGATAGTTTTATAGTTGTATTCCTCTGAACATAGTTATCCCGGCATCATTTTTTGAAGAGACTGTTTTTTCCACAATGTGCTCTCTTGTCACCTCTGTCAAAGACAAGGTGGCCACAGATATGTCTATTTACATCTCAGTCCTCTATTCTGTTCCGTTGGTGTGTATGTCGGGTTTATGCCAGTATCATGCTAAGTTGGTTACTATGGCTTTGTAGTAAACTTTAAAGTCAGAAAGTGTGATGCTTCAGCTATATGTGCACCCCGATATTTATTGCAATACTATTCACAATAGCCAAAATATGGAATAAACCTAAGTACTCATGAATGAATGAATGGTTAAAGAGAATGTGGTATATTTACATAATGGAGTATTTTTCAGCTATAAAAGGAATGACGTCCTGTCTTTTGCAGGAACATGGATGGACTTGAAGGTCATTATTTTAAGTGAAATAAACCAAGCACAGAAATATAAATACCTCATGTTATCACTCATATGTAAAAACTAAACAAGTGAATCTCATAAAGAGAGAGAAGAGATCGGTGGATCCTACAGGCTGGGATAGGTACCAGGGATGGGGAGGTGAAGAGAAGTTGACGAATGAATACAAACTTGGGTTCTAGAGAAAAAAATAAGAGTTAGTGTTAGATCAAACAGTAGGGTGCTGATAGTTTACAATAAACTATTATGTATTTCAAAATCTCTAGAAAGATAATTTGTATGGCTTTAGCACCTAGAGAAGACATATATTTACAGTGATGGATATCCCAAGTATACTGACTTGGCTTTTACAAACTATATACATGAATGTGAAAAAAATACAAGAAATATGAACAACAAAAGTAATGCAAACAAAAAACACAAAAGGAAAGAGTTTTCCTCACGTTGAGGTCAAAGGAAAGATGCAAGAAAAGTTGAAGTTACAAAAAGCATCTGAAATTGAGAAAATAAGAAACTGGCAGATTTTCCGACTGAAGACATTTAGCCTTCCTCTGGTCCAGCGTTGTGGCAGGCACCTGTAGTCCCAGCTACTTGGGAGGCTGAGGCAAGAGAATCGCTGGAGCCCGAGATCGAGGTTGCTGTGAGCTGTGAACGCCATGGCACTCTGCCAAGGACAACATAGTGAGACTCTGTCAAAAAATAAAAATAAAAAAATTATCCTTCTTGAGCAAGTAAATTCTTCCATCTTATTATATCTCCACTAATTTTAGTCTAATATGATCATAATTGCATTACAGAGATTCTAAGGGTTCACCTCAATGAGACGGATCTGCAGCAGAATAACTCTGAATGACATCTTTAATGATTGTAGGTATATTGTGTAAAATAATAATACAAACGACAGCAGTCAGGACAATCAGCATTTTTTGAAAGTTTGCTATATGCTCGGGTCTGCCTTAAGTGCTTTTTATGTATGAAGACATTTAGTACTTGTATGAAGCCTAGAAACTTAACATCATATTTTAAGAACAAAGAAACTGAGGCAAAGAGAATTTAGATAACTTGGCTGCAGTAGCCAAGCTAGCAAGTAGCCCAGCCAGGGTTCACAGCCTGATGTTCTGCAATCCGTAATGCCCTATGTGGTGTGTTTAGTAAGGGAGACCTCTGGGCGCCCTCAGATTTTATATATATACAAACAATGTGTGGAACAAGTAAAAAGTTACAAAGATAAGAAACAAACTTCAAAAGAAAGTTAATTTAACAATGTAATAATAGATATGTAATGTATTTTTAAAGAATCCTAACTAGGCAAAAAAAAATTTTAAAGTGGTCTTATTTTAAACTGATTACAAAAAAAAAAATAAAAATCCTGGAAAGTAAAATAAATAGGTATTCAAAAATTGCAATGTCTGAGATGTTAGTGTAAGGTGTTTCCTTTGTCTGTTTCCTCAATTTAAAAAAAAAAAAAAAAAAGCTTTGGAAGAGTTTGGCAAAATGAGACTAAATAGTGTCGGAGCCAGAGTGACCTAACAGGAAGCTGGGCTATTCCCACTGCCAGTGATCTCTGAAAAAGACTCTGAGGCTCCCTCTCTGCTCCAATAGACAGGAGGGACTTAGGGCTGGATAATCGTCAAATTCTTACCTCGCCCTTTCACTGCGAGGGGGATCAGATTGCATTTCTTTCTGTATTCTCTGCTTCCCAGTTTCTTGATCTGTTTAAAGGAAGTAGAGAAAATAAATCCTCTCTTTAGTACCTCGAAGGAAAACAACCTCAACGCCGCTTTGAAAAAAACAATCTTTCCAAGAACTTTCTTCAGAGATTTTACTCGTGAGTACTTGGCACTGGGGGGAAAGCAGAGTTCTGAGAGTTAGCAACGGGTTGGGGAGGACCACGGTCTATTCCTCCAATAAACTCTTCCTGGTAAACAACATAAATTCAAACTGCAATGGGAAATTAAGACCTCAGCATGTTGCATTTAGTTCTTAAGCAAATATATGTGCAATGTTTATGCTTTTAAGATGACAAGCAATTTTGTAATTGGTTGGTGTTATGTAGCCTCTTTATAGTTTTAAGATTGTAGTACTTTATTTACTAAGTGTGTTTGGTTAATTGGAATTTTATTGAAGGTTTGGTTTACCTTTCAATTTTATTTAGTATCATATAAAGAACTGTAATGAACACACTGACCTCCTGCTGTTTAAAGAAACATCTTTCATTGTCATTAATGGGTGATACTTAAAATGAAATATAAACATTAGAATTATTGGAATCTAAATTAAATATTTTTTGCCAGCATTAACTATTCTCTAAGGCAATACAGGTCTCAAAGATTAACACTCATATTCCAAAGTATTTAAATGAGAATACTCATGGTCAAGTCTGTTACGTTGTACAGTTTTTTAAATTAAAGCAGTAGGTTACATACCTGTATACGGTCAAGTTCTTGTTAGCTATGAAAAAATATTCAACATTGCATCTGGTAGAAAGGGAATGCACATAACATAGGAGTCCATAACCACGGAACTATAATGAGAAAAACAATTATTTAGTTATGAAAAAAAAACTTATTAGTATAAAAAAATTACTGAAAAAATTAGGGCTTAGAGCAGTACCATGTGGGAAAAAAAGAAAAGATAAGCAACAGCCGCACTGTGACTCAGTGCTCTGGAAATTAGTCACAAAATGACTTTGTATAATATGAGATAACATAAACACCAAGGGCAGAACCCAAGCAGGAAATATACAGCCAAGAGGGTCATTTTTTCTGTGTAAAGCCATCATGTTTATGTCAGAGAAGAAAAGTTGTGATAGTTTTCCGATATTGCACAATTTTTAAGCCTCACAATATCCTTTTATAAAATATTTTAAGGATTTTTTATAAATACATCATTGTAGTGCATGATCATTTCAAGGAATAGTATTCATATCTCATTTAGTTCTTAAAGAGGGAACACAGTCTGTTTGGAAACTTGTTTGAGTGTGAAATGTTAATTTGGAACTTATAGCTTAATAAAATGATGTGAAATATAAATAGAGATCATTAGAGATTGAAAAATATTAATACACATAACTAACATAAAATCTTAAATAAAGAGTAAAACTTTAAAATACATTTAACAATTTCAGTAGGTATGTTGGGAAACCAGATTTGTCTTATTTAGATGACCCTGGAATCTTGTTAGAAAACTTTGATGACATTCATATTACTATTTGGTTCCTAGCTCTATTAGATATGCTGAATTGGACAAGTTACACTTTTGTTTTGTCTTGTTTATTTTCCTATCTTTAAGCATTTGTTTTACTTCCAATGAATATATCGAAAGTCCTTTTGGAGATGTGATTCTTCTTCAAATAGATCATGCCACCAATTGTACTTGGTGATCTGATTTATTATCTGTAATTCTGTGCTTCATTTGCTTATTATTTGTACAACTATTTTGATAGAACCTCCTATCATAAACATTATTGTTAAATTTACAAATAATACATAAAATGAGAAAACATTTTTGTATTAAAATACTGTTTTTATAGTATTATTTGAAGAGTCCCTTAGGAATTAATTTCTTGACCTTAATTACTTACATATTTCAAATTTGAAAGGTAAGTATGAATGATGACCAACTAAAAGACCAGACTCAAAAGTTTTTATATGACCAGAATGCCTGGCCATCTAACCAAATAGTAAATGTGTTATAGATTCTTTAGGAATTGTTGATTGGTTCATATCAGTGTCACAAATTTTAAAATGTTGAAAAACTTATATCCACCTAATAGAAGAAAATGCACCCCTGTAATCCCAGTAATTTTGAAGGCCAAAGCAGGAGGATCATTTGAGTTCAGGAGATCGAGACCAGCCTGAGCAAAGTGCAGGAGTTCAAGACCAGTCCAAGCAAAGTGAGATCCCTACCTCTGCTAAAAATAGAAATCTTAGCTAGGCATGGTATTGGTTACCTGTAGTCCAAGCTACATGTTAAGCTGAGGCAGGAGGATTACTTGAGCCCAGTAGTTTGACGTTACCGTGAGCTAGGCTGAGGCCATGCACTCTAGCTTGGGTGACAAAGGAAGACTCTGTCTTAAACAAAATGAGAACATCCTGACTAAAATAAATAAATAAATAAATAAAATAAGGAGAGACAATAAAGGAACATTCCCAATACAAATATTAAATGCCTGGGGTGGTAGATACTTCAACCACCCTGATTTGATTAACTTCAATTGTATGCCAGTATTAAAAACATCACAAGTGCCCTATAAAGATACACAACTAATATATACCCATAATAATTATAAGTATTTTTTAAATGAAGAAAAGTATTCAGAATAGATTTTTATAAAAATCTTGTCACTATTAAACAATTGAATGATAATATAGATTCAAATTGGTTAATTATATCACCAGTTTATTTTTTCTATATGGAAATGATCAAAGAATTGTACTTTAATCCAACTCATCTATTCTTCATAAAGGCCTTCCCCTGCCAGCCACCCTTTTTCTAGTTACCATCCTGAGGAATTAACTTGGTAGATTGGCTTTTTAAAACACACAAATATTCTGAAATTCTTTAGTGTCATAGGTAGCTTTTGTTATCTTTTATAGAAATAAAACATTATAATTCTTCCTGATTGCTAATATGTGCTGTAGAAGAAATCTGAATTCAATAGATATGGAGTGGCTTTTGAAGTCTCTGTTTCTAAATATTAAATCTTACCAAAATGAGGAAAAGGTGAAAGTTTTTGAGTGCGTTTTCTTCATACCAGACCATCTTTCTTAGCTGTCTGAGCAACTCAGTGACTGCTTTCTTGATATTTTGTACCAACTCCAAGGGCCCGGTCTTCTCATTACCCATTTTTCCCTTGTTCACTTCTCCAGGTAGAATCAGTGCCTGAGATTCAACCACCAAAAGGCTGAGGGCAACTTAGTCATCTCCACCATTCTTCCCAAAACCAACAACAAAAAGTACTGGGCCCATGTCAAACCCATTGTTTTTAGTTTTCTTCAGGCCTCCCCTTGGGATTCAATATTCTTAGTGGAACATCCACATGTTAAAATTGTTTTTAAACCCAAAGAATAAAAGGACATAATAAATATCTCAATGCTGTAATATTCCTGTCCCAGTGGTTCCTTCTGTTGGACCACAGACCACTTGGGAGACTGAAAATAATTGCAGTGAAATCCCTAATCCAAATGTGATGGAACAAGGATAGCTTGCTGTTGACTCGGGCTTATAAGGCTGTTTTAAATATTAGGAATGTGAAAATAACTATTAATAGGATATTGATAAAATGTAGCTTTTTCATGGCAAGTGTAGGGTGCTCCTGATAACATCCTCAACACTGCTGCCACTCTGTAGCCAGCCTTATTTATCTTTATTCCTAACCTTGACCATTGCCTACTTCTATTCAATCCTCGGATCCTATAATAATTCAGCTCTAAGCATCACCTCATTTCTCCCTCCTCATTTCCCAAGGCTTAAAAAATAGAGCAAATCTCAGAAATGGGGGGTGAGTCTCTACAATAATGTCATTTGTGAAGATTTGGGTAATATGTGCAGTATTAAAGTCCTTTTAGGAAGCTTCAAAGTCCTGGATTAATTTGATTCATTAGCAAATGAATCAAAATGGTTACGTTAAAATGTCTTGGGCCTGATCTTGCTCTTTCTTGTGTTCCTGATATCAATTATACATAAATGCAAAAGGAATGGAGTTTTGATACGTGATACGTGAATGAACCTAGAAAACATGATGCTACCTAAAATAAGCCAGACACGAAAGGACAAATAATAGACGATTTCATTTATATAAATATCTAAACTAGGGAAATTCTTAGAGACAGAAAACAGATTAGGGATTACCAGGGGCCACATGAGTGGTGATTTACTGCTTATGGGTACAGGGTTTTTGTCTGGAATGATGAAAAATGTTTGAAATAGGAGTCATGTTGTATAATATCGTGAATGTAATTAAAGCTTCTGAGTTGTATATTTAAAACTGGTTAAAATGGCAAATTTCATGGTCTATATATTTTACCACAGTAAAAATTATTTTAAAATGATGTAAGAATTCATTTTGAAGAATTCTGGCTTCTTGTTGACATTCTCTTCATATTTTCTTAATAAATAGATTAAAAGTATAAGTATTATAATGTTGATTGCCTGAAGTTTTTAACACGAAGACAGAAACTTCCTGCTAGAAACTCAAGTATATTTTTACATGAAATTTCTGTACTTCAGGCTAAATATTTTTATTTTATTCATAATGGTTTCTTTTTTTCTGATTTTAGTATCAGGCTAATTCAAACCTCATGGATGGGGTTGGCAAGTATTCAAACCATTCTGTTAAATTTTCTGGAAGACTTGACATAAATTTGATAGTATTTCAGCTTTCAATTTTAGATAGAATTCACCAATGAAGCCATCTGAGGCTGGGACTTGTGGGATATTGTAATTACAAATGTTATTATTAAAAAATGGTTATAGAGAGGAGCACCTGTAGCTCAAAGGAGTAGGGCCCCATATACCAGAGGTGGCAGGTTCAAACCTGGCCCCAGCCAAAAACTGCAAAAAATGAATAAATAAATAAATAAGCAAATAATTATAGAGCATTCCAGGTTATCCATTTCTCCTTGAGAGAGATTTTATGTCTTTCAATGAATTAGGCCATTTCAATTTTTTGTCCAATTTATTGACATAAAGTGAATATTCTTTCATGATAAAATCTGCAATGGCATAAACCTTCACCTCCTAATGTTAGTAAGTTGTTCAATCTACTTAAAGGCTAACCATTTTATACATTTTGCAAAAGAGCTAGCTTTTGGTTTCATTGACTTC